GTACCCGCCCGAGTACCTTATACGTACCTAAAAGTACTTTAAGGTACTTCAGTACCCGAAAGTTCCTGTGACATACTGGTAGCAGGGTACTTTTTCAGGTACCCTTAGCTCAGTACATTCACTAGGGTAAACACACTTTGCTTAAAAGACCACAAGGTTAAACGCGTGTGTATAGACTAATTTCATGGTGAAAAAGTTAATAGATATCAAAACTAAAGAAAGGATAATAGTTTTAGTGTTTTACTGTGAAAAATTACCAGCAAACAAATTCGATTTGTATTCCCCAACATTTTATGATTTTTAGACAACAATCTTTGAGATCACATTGACACACAATATTCATGATCAATAATTTTCGCAATACTCTCTAAAATAAAAGTCGAAGTAGTTTCGTTTAATCTGCCATTCTTGAGTTCGCTATTTTTACATAAGTATAAATACATAGTGCTAGCCATTTTCTATCTACGGTTAGATTATAAAATATTTTTAGATAAATCAATTTTTAGTAGTCACTTAAAGAGAATAAGTTATTTCCGTATTGTTTGTTGATTTATATTTTTAAAATAAGGAAGTTGTTGAATTGCGATAAAAAAAATGAGGATGAAGAACAAGTTTTTTTGATTTACACAAGTGTGAAGGCTAAACGAACATCCTTTAGCAAATAGAAAATACTTCCGACATAATCATCATACACAACAACAACGATAAAGAAGAAAATTATGAAGGTGTATTGTTGTTGTAGTAGCAGTAGAAGAAGAACACATTTTAGAAAAATGTTTGGTATACAACATATTGGGTGGCTGTTATCTAAACACAATATAAATAGAAACCAAAAATAGCAATAAAAAATGTTTATTGGTAATAAAAAATAAGTACTGTTCGAAAGGGATGAAAAAAACGATCTGGAAGAGAAATAGTGTCTGAATCATGAAACTCCACTTGCATTTCCAGCTTCATTATGAATGTAAAGACAATATCATGCTGTCCGTTCGTCGTTGCCTAAATGACTTATCGTCCTTCGTTTTCTAACTACATGTGCATATATTAATAAAATGTTCAAAAGTAAACAGACTATACATCAGAATGACGACAAACATTTAATCAAGCATCTTGTCTAACGTATAACATGGTGGTCACTAATTTTCTCGATTAATATTTGGAATAAAACAGTCTAGAGATGATTAGAATAATTGTAATCTATATTAAAATACGTTGATAAAACTTCATAGCTCAAACGTTTGATATAGTGCGGATTGGCACGATTCAATTCATTCATAAAGCCCTTTGCTCTATCTTTTTTAGTATCGTAAATCATTAGATGTGTATGTGACATTATCTAATAATTTTCATTTGTGTTCATATGTCATAAGTAAAAAAGAAGAAAAAAAGAATATTATCATCAGTAATATATAAAATGAGCAAAAATTATAATCGTTTTCCTTTTTATTATTGTCATAAGAAAATCGAAGTGTTCAAGTGTATGACAAAGAAATAAAACTTTTCAGCATGCTTATTTTCCTAAAAAATATTTGTAGAAACAAAAAAAAGTATAGTGTGCCTTTCTCTATACAATCCAATCACTATCGCCTACGATAATTATATCTCTCTATCAGTGTGAACAAAATGTAACAGTTCAAAATCCTCGAAATCATTCTTATAGTTTTCTCATTTTATTATCATTAATTCTATTCATCAAAATCATAAATTTTTATTTGTGCTAAAAAACGACATTTAATTAATTCATTAATTAATGAACATATTTAAAAAAGTATAAATTGTCACGTATTCAATTATTATGGATATTCATCTTAATAAAAGTCTTGGCACATTCTATCAAAAAATAACAAATTTATTTACACAGTCCAAAACAAATAACATTGAACTAAGTTCACCGGCACCAGATTCAACATCAGCTATACTCTTTAACAAGTATCCATCTTTTGTAACATCGTTATCGAAACCATTGAGCAAACAACATCAACGACGTTCACTTGGATTAAAACAACAACAACAACAACTCAATGTCAGTAGTGGTTCTCAATCAACACGTACATCCTGCTCGACATCGTGTGGATCGTACAATTCCCTATCACATGTATCAGAAAACAAACAAGCGCCGCTTACATCCAGTACTAATTCTTCAACTGGTATCACAACATCTCCTATCTACATACAATCAAATATTATGCTACATAGCACATAGTAAGTAGTATGTGTATTTTCAAGTGTGAAAGCCGTGAATTTTGGATATCGATTATGATCAAATGTGCAAGTTTTAAGTACCTTAAACTTTAAACTTTTTTCCATCTAAAAAGCGATGCATGTAAGATGTCGATTTTCGGTTGTAATTATGTCCATCGGGAATATATTCATACCGTATTCCAACATCAATTTGTATCGGAATGTAGTATTTGCTAACTACAGTCATTGAAAAGGAAAGATCGGTTTTGTTTAGAATACATTTATTCTGAAAGAGCCCATTACTGCTGTCCTTTCATTTTATGAACAAAGGTGCAAGCAAAGATCCGATTGAACCCAAATTTCGAATAACAAAATCGATGTATCTTTTCTCAGACTAATGTGACACAGTTTTGGCTATAGATTTCTAGAAATACAGTCTTAAATTATCACCAACAGATCATAATGTAACCACATTAGGCAGAGTCAGGATTTGAACATCGTATGTTGTATCATACAGATCAGGTTCTTAAGACTCTTTGAAAAAATGCTTATAACTTTTGAAAAGATTATGGAGAACTGGAAGACATCTCGTTGTGTAGAAAACTTTGCCCTACAAGACCAACTAGTTGAACAAACTTCTGAAACTTAATAAATAAAGTTTCTCAGCGAAATGCATAAACTTTAAAAACTTCGTATATTCTTGATGACAGATTTTGTTTTGTAGGGGACAGTCTACTCTATAGTTCACTCAGTTCAACTCAGGAATAAAACTTTCTCCTAAAACGAGGGATATCTTCAAGTATATCGGGATATTAGGGATGTTACAAGCCTTGAGACCTTGCATCAAAGATCACATGTTTTCATTATTCAAAACCCCCAAGCTTTTGTGTCAGACGTAACCAGTTTTCTCTGCTGTATCCGAAACCAGTGCTAGAACTGTTCAAAATCAATAAAAAAGTGCCAGGCTTGGTAAAGCTTGTTAAAAAATACAGAGAAAGGTTAATTTTCACCACTCTTTATCAAGCCCGGCACTTTTTTATTGATTTTGATCAGTCCTAGAACTAGTTTCAGATACAGCAGAGAAAACTGGTTACGTCTGACACAAAAGCTCGGCAGAGCTTGGAGGTTTTGAATAATGAAAATATGTGATCTCTGATGCAAAGTCTTAAGCGGTATTTAATCCCTACGGGGTATTTAATACGTAAGTATTATATATTCCAACAGTAATGAATTTCAGTACAAAATACAGACTATATGAACGCATTTTCACTGCACACTTGCCAATAGTTGTAGTTTAAGCTCCTCTGTTTAGAAAAGTTCGAGACTAAAAAAACAAATTATTTATCAGTCCTAACCAGGGTGTCCAAATCCAATTTTTCGAAATCAGGAGCTTTTCGTTAAAAATCAGGAGTTGGTCAGGACATTTTTTTTCGAAATCAGAAGAAAAACAGGAGAGTATTGGACAGTTTTTTCTTCGACAAGCAAAACAAAAATCCAATCACTTTTTCAAGAACATAGTGTTTTTTGAAATATTTTTTGATGGAACAGTATTATCATTTGTTACAGACTGCAGTATGGATTAAGGAAGAAGTTTTTGATCCGATGAATTTGGAAGTTCATTACTCTCATCTTCTTGTGATGAAAACATTCGATAAGTACACTGCGGACTCTTTCAATGTACAATTATGTAGACGCTTGATCCAGAAATTCTGTTTCTGAAACTGATAATCTCAGTTTTGGAAAAAACAAAATCGATGCGGGAAAACAATTGAAAAACAGGAGAATCAGGAGAAAATCTTAAAAATCAGCTCCTGAAATCAGAAGAGTTTTCATCAGGAGAAAAGTCTAAAAATCAGGAGTTTCCTGGTAAAATCAGGAGATTTGGACACTCTGGTTCTAACTTTTTGAACATTCTCTAGAACTAATCAGATGCTTTAGATCCGTCACTTAAGAACTAAAATGAATACTTTATAAATTTTTAATTTTTAACATAAATGTAATTGTCTAGTATTCATGCTCAATCATATAGTGTTTTTGACCGACTTTTTGTTTGACGAAGAAGAGATAGATAGCACGTGTTTCTCTCTAGTCATAACAGTGTAACCACTATGCATTCATACAAATCTAGAACTATTTTGTCCATTGTCCTTGTATATGTCATTCTTTCTCTTTTCTCTCTGACAACACTAAATATGTAACTTCAGTTCAAATAGTCAGTTGTCGAATGTACAAATTTCGAAAGCATAATTCTTCAGTTACGGACTGCTTAATAAATGGATAGACTTAAGAAAGCAATTCGTTATCTTCACAATAATCATGCCTCATGTATATCGTGTACAAAGTCTGAGTAAGTTATTATTGAACACTTTATTTGACTTAAATGAATTTTAGTTCACTAGACACCACAGAAAAGAAACGCCCCATTGGTTAGAAAGGTACTAGGAGAGACGATGCTGAAAGACAGGAAGACACCGTGTTCGCAGAATTTGAGCCATTTTTTAAAACTGCTTCTCAGTCTTAAGAGCGACGAGCATGGTTTGATGATGAGATCACAATCATAGCACAAAAGTACTGTAAATGAGATTATTCACCTTCAGTATTTTTGTGTTTTGTTTCCTTCAACAATTTAAAAAATGATGAGATTTTTTTGAATGAGAAAGAGGGAATAAAACTGGAATTTATCTAATGATTTTATACATATGTTCTTCTTTGAAGATACAGATTTTTCTCATTTTAGTCGATTAATACAATTTTCTGTATATATTTTTTTTGATTTATAACAACATGAGTTACTTAATAATTTTGAGCAAGAAAAAAGTCAATCATTTTTTGGTATAAGATATCAGCTGAGTATTGGAAAGAAGTTCTTTTTACGGGTATACAATTCATGAAAATTTCACTGTTTGTGGAACAGTTAATATAGTTAGCAAACATGAAAATGATTGAAGTAACACAAGCACAAAATTCTGCCATACAAATAAAAGTTCCTGTGACTTGTTCGGCAAGACCTCCACCTAATATAATCATTAATAGACGTTGTATAGTTCGAAAAAGGTAGAACAGGGTATCACCACTCGTGACCTTTTGACTTCTTTCCAAGTTTTCTAACAATGTTTTACTAGAAGACTTAAAAAGAACGCAAATTAATGTTGTTTCTTTCTTGTTAATTTCTCAACTGATATGTATTTTATTATTTTTTTCGCAGTGGTGATGAGCGGAAACAACAGCAACATCAATTTGTTCCTGGTATGGACAGTGATGAATTTCGTCGTCGTGGTAAGGAAATGGTTGATTATATTGCTGATTATATTACTAATATTAGGTAGGAGTCTGTTATGTAATATGCTATCAAGATAGAATGATGTTTTGTTTTCTATGTTCTAGTGCACGACGAGTTACACCTGAGGTTGAACCCGGTTATTTACGCCCAATGTTGCCAAAAAATGCACCCGATGAACCTGAACCGTGGGACGATATAATGAAAGATGTTGAAACAGCCATAATGCCTGGTGTAAATCCTTTTTTTTTCTTAAGCCAACAAAATACTATTTTTGATGCACTTCTCTATAGATAACACATTGGCAACATCCACGTTTTCATGCCTATTTTCCAGCTGGAAATAGTTATCCATCAATATTGGGTGAAATGTTATCAGCTGGCTTAGGTATTGTTGGCTTTAGCTGGGCTGCAAGTCCAGCATGCACAGAATTGGAAACAGTCATGCTTGACTGGCTTGGTAAGTTAAAAGAATGTATAGTTACTAACTTTTCGTTTCATACGACTATTTTAGGACGAATGATGGCATTACCAAAAGTATTTTTACCGTTCGATATCAATCGTGATTATAAAGATAGTGATGACGATGAAACAAACTCGGACTCAGAGTCATATGAATTAAGTGATGTTGATAAGGATGATACTGTGGATGGTACAGTTGAAGATGGATTAATGATGAATGGAAAGAAAAGTAGACACAAAGGTGGTGGTGTACTATTGGTATGATTTCTCTTGTTTAATATCTCATCCGATGAAGTAAACTCGTTTTTCTTTTTCTTTTTTCCAGGGCTCAGCTAGTGAATGTGTACTAGTTGCCATGTTATGCGCCCGTGCAAAAAAAGTTGCTAGTCAACGTTTAATAGATCCACATATTGAGGATGGACAACTGTTATCAAAACTAGTGGCCTATACATCAAAACTGGTAAATAGTAGGCGCCCGGTATAGATTATTCAGAATTTTGTACAAGAATTCTTCCTCTCGCAGGCACATTCATGTGTTGAAAAAGCCGGTCTAATTGCGGTCATCAAAGTTCGACAATTGTATGTTGATGATCATTATTCTTTACGTGGTAAAACCTTGGAAGAATCAATAAAAGCAGACAAGGAAAAAGGATTAATACCATTTTTTGTAAGTGTTTCATTTTTTTGTTGCAAAATGGTAAAAGAAACTTTTTTGTTAAGGTATCTGGTACACTTGGTACAACATCATGTTGTTCATATGATAATCTTGAAGAAATTGGTGAAATATGTCGTCGAGAACAATTATGGTTTCATGTTGATGGCGCCTACGCTGGAAGTGCATTTATTTGTGAAGAGTTTCGGTATCTGATGAAAGGCATACATGTAAGGTGTATATATACTTTGCTATGAAAAATATGTAACTCTAGTCTTCTTATTAGTATGCGGATTCATATAATACGAATCCAAACAAATGGTTATTAATAAATTTTGACTGTTCGTGTTTTTGGTAAGAAAACAGTTTAGTTTAGACTGAATTTAGACTAAAATGTATCTTTCTTTTAGGGTGCGAGATAAATTTGCATTGGTAAATGCAATGTCTGTTGATCCACTCTATTTACAACATAAACATGCTCAAAAGGCAGTTGACTATCGTGTATGTACAAAACCTTGTTTTCATCGTAACATTTTATAATCTTTGTTTTGTACAGCATTGGGGTGTTGCGCTTAGTCGTCGTTTTCGTGCGTTAAAATTATGGTTTACAATTCGTAATTATGGTGTAACTGGTTTACGTCATTATGTTCGGGAGGTACGTGTTGTTGAAGTAAAAACTTTTACACGAATTTTATGTATGTTTCAATCTCTTCAGCATTGTCGTTTGGCTAAAGTTTTTGAAGGGTTATTGAGAAAAGACCATCGTTTTGAAATAGTTGGGGATGTAACACTTGGCTTAGTCTGTTTTCGATTAATAGTAAGTTAACATAAATCCAACAAATGGTTGTTCAAAGGACTCAATTGTCTAGCAGCACCAAAGGCCACATTTAGAATTGTTGACGTTGAACATTCATTTTTTCTCGTACTTTAGGGAAGCAACAAACTTAGTCAAAAATTGTTATTATCATTAAATGATTCCGGTAAAATTCATATGGTTCCATCAATGGTCAATGACATTTATATCATTCGATTTGCTGTTTGTTCAAAAGATGCTACTGATGATGACATGCGTGTTGCATTTGATATAATACAATCACATGCCAATGATGTTATACAAGAATATAAAGCAATGCGCGGTGGACGTCTGTCATCCACGTCCAGTGATTCTCTTGATTTATTATCGAAAGTACCGCCACCTACAACGATAATTGGTGAAACACCTGAACTCGTCACAAGCGTCACAGCTGAAACAAATATACCTGATCAAATATTAACAAATTCAACGGCTGCCGTTGTCCCATCTACCCATCAACAACAGAAACCATCAACACCAACAAAACCAAAAGTCACGTTTGAAAAACCATCAGCTGTAATTAGCAAACGTCCTGGTACCATGTTTACACGCATGGTTTCGGATGCTAAATTATATTTACCAAAGCGTACATTGTCACAAATATCCCGTCAATCGTCACTAGCTAATCCATATGTCCGTAAACGTATTCAAAATGACGCAAATGCTCCTCGAGCTCGTTCATCCTCGGAGCGTTATTTATCGCGGACCGTATCAATTTTGGATACAGTTCCTAGTGATGATGGAGAATTAGACGAGCAAAATTAACTAATTTCGTTTGTTTTGATAATAATAAAAGTTATTATTATTTATTTTTCATTTGTGTTTTGTTGGTGTTGATGGTTTCTGTTGTTGATGGGTAGATGGGACAACGGCAGCCGTTGAATTTGTTAATATTTGATCAGGTATATTTGTTTCAGCTGTGACGCTTGTGACGAGTTCAGGTGTTTCACCAATTATCGTTGTAGGTGGCGGTACTTTCGATAATAAATCAAGAGAATCACTGGACGTGGATGACAGACGTCCACCGCGCATTGCTTTATATTCTTGTATAACATCATTGGCATGTGATTGTATTATATCAAATGCAACACGCATGTCATCATCAGTAGCATCTTTTGAACAAACAGCAAATCGAATGATATAAATGTCATTGACCATTGATGGAACCATATGAATTTTACCGGAATCATTTAATGATAATAACAATTTTTGACTAAGTTTGTTGCTTCCCTAAAGTACGAGAAAAAATGAATGTTCAACGTCAACAATTCTAAATGTGGCCTTTGGTGCTGCTAGACAATTGAGTCCTTTGAACAACCATTTGTTGGATTTATGTTAACTTACTATTAATCGAAAACAGACTAAGCCAAGTGTTACATCCCCAACTATTTCAAAACGATGGTCTTTTCTCAATAACCCTTCAAAAACTTTAGCCAAACGACAATGCTGAAGAGATTGAAACATACATAAAATTCGTGTAAAAGTTTTTACTTCAACAACACGTACCTCCCGAACATAATGACGTAAACCAGTTACACCATAATTACGAATTGTAAACCATAATTTTAACGCACGAAAACGACGACTAAGCGCAACACCCCAATGCTGTACAAAACAAAGATTATAAAATGTTACGATGAAAACAAGGTTTTGTACATACACGATAGTCAACTGCCTTTTGAGCATGTTTATGTTGTAAATAGAGTGGATCAACAGACATTGCATTTACCAATGCAAATTTATCTCGCACCCTAAAAGAAAGATACATTTTAGTCTAAATTCAGTCTAAACTAAACTGTTTTCTTACCAAAAACACGAACAGTCAAAATTTATTAATAACCATTTGTTTGGATTCGTATTATATGAATCCGCATACTAATAAGAAGACTAGAGTTACATATTTTTCATAGCAAAGTATATATACACCTTACATGTATGCCTTTCATCAGATACCGAAACTCTTCACAAATAAATGCACTTCCAGCGTAGGCGCCATCAACATGAAACCATAATTGTTCTCGACGACATATTTCACCAATTTCTTCAAGATTATCATATGAACAACATGATGTTGTACCAAGTGTACCAGATACCTTAACAAAAAAGTTTCTTTTACCATTTTGCAACAAAAAAATGAAACACTTACAAAAAATGGTATTAATCCTTTTTCCTTGTCTGCTTTTATTGATTCTTCCAAGGTTTTACCACGTAAAGAATAATGATCATCAACATACAATTGTCGAACTTTGATGACCGCAATTAGACCGGCTTTTTCAACACATGAATGTGCCTGCGAGAGGAAGAATTCTTGTACAAAATTCTGAATAATCTATACCGGGCGCCTACTATTTACCAGTTTTGATGTATAGGCCACTAGTTTTGATAACAGTTGTCCATCCTCAATATGTGGATCTATTAAACGTTGACTAGCAACTTTTTTTGCACGGGCGCATAACATGGCAACTAGTACACATTCACTAGCTGAGCCCTGGAAAAAAGAAAAAGAAAAACGAGTTTACTTCATCGGATGAGATATTAAACAAGAGAAATCATACCAATAGTACACCACCACCTTTGTGTCTACTTTTCTTTCCATTCATCATTAATCCATCTTCAACTGTACCATCCACAGTATCATCCTTATCAACATCACTTAATTCATATGACTCTGAGTCCGAGTTTGTTTCATCGTCATCACTATCTTTATAATCACGATTGATATCGAACGGTAAAAATACTTTTGGTAATGCCATCATTCGTCCTAAAATAGTCGTATGAAACGAAAAGTTAGTAACTATACATTCTTTTAACTTACCAAGCCAGTCAAGCATGACTGTTTCCAATTCTGTGCATGCTGGACTTGCAGCCCAGCTAAAGCCAACAATACCTAAGCCAGCTGATAACATTTCACCCAATATTGATGGATAACTATTTCCAGCTGGAAAATAGGCATGAAAACGTGGATGTTGCCAATGTGTTATCTATAGAGAAGTGCATCAAAAATAGTATTTTGTTGGCTTAAGAAAAAAAAAGGATTTACACCAGGCATTATGGCTGTTTCAACATCTTTCATTATATCGTCCCACGGTTCAGGTTCATCGGGTGCATTTTTTGGCAACATTGGGCGTAAATAACCGGGTTCAACCTCAGGTGTAACTCGTCGTGCACTAGAACATAGAAAACAAAACATCATTCTATCTTGATAGCATATTACATAACAGACTCCTACCTAATATTAGTAATATAATCAGCAATATAATCAACCATTTCCTTACCACGACGACGAAATTCATCACTGTCCATACCAGGAACAAATTGATGTTGCTGTTGTTTCCGCTCATCACCACTGCGAAAAAAATAATAAAATACATATCAGTTGAGAAATTAACAAGAAAGAAACAACATTAATTTGCGTTCTTTTTAAGTCTTCTAGTAAAACATTGTTAGAAAACTTGGAAAGAAGTCAAAAGGTCACGAGTGGTGATACCCTGTTCTACCTTTTTCGAACTATACAACGTCTATTAATGATTATATTAGGTGGAGGTCTTGCCGAACAAGTCACAGGAACTTTTATTTGTATGGCAGAATTTTGTGCTTGTGTTACTTCAATCATTTTCATGTTTGCTAACTATATTAACTGTTCCACAAACAGTGAAATTTTCATGAATTGTATACCCGTAAAAAGAACTTCTTTCCAATACTCAGCTGATATCTTATACCAAAAAATGATTGACTTTTTTCTTGCTCAAAATTATTAAGTAACTCATGTTGTTATAAATCAAAAAAAATATATACAGAAAATTGTATTAATCGACTAAAATGAGAAAAATCTGTATCTTCAAAGAAGAACATATGTATAAAATCATTAGATAAATTCCAGTTTTATTCCCTCTTTCTCATTCAAAAAAATCTCATCATTTTTTAAATTGTTGAAGGAAACAAAACACAAAAATACTGAAGGTGAATAATCTCATTTACAGTACTTTTGTGCTATGATTGTGATCTCATCATCAAACCATGCTCGTCGCTCTTAAGACTGAGAAGCAGTTTTAAAAAATGGCTCAAATTCTGCGAACACGGTGTCTTCCTGTCTTTCAGCATCGTCTCTCCTAGTACCTTTCTAACCAATGGGGCGTTTCTTTTCTGTGGTGTCTAGTGAACTAAAATTCATTTAAGTCAAATAAAGTGTTCAATAATAACTTACTCAGACTTTGTACACGATATACATGAGGCATGATTATTGTGAAGATAACGAATTGCTTTCTTAAGTCTATCCATTTATTAAGCAGTCCGTAACTGAAGAATTATGCTTTCGAAATTTGTACATTCGACAACTGACTATTTGAACTGAAGTTACATATTTAGTGTTGTCAGAGAGAAAAGAGAAAGAATGACATATACAAGGACAATGGACAAAATAGTTCTAGATTTGTATGAATGCATAGTGGTTACACTGTTATGACTAGAGAGAAACACGTGCTATCTATCTCTTCTTCGTCAAACAAAAAGTCGGTCAAAAACACTATATGATTGAGCATGAATACTAGACAATTACATTTATGTTAAAAATTAAAAATTTATAAAGTATTCATTTTAGTTCTTAAGTGACGGATCTAAAGCATCTGATTAGTTCTAGAGAATGTTCAAAAAGTTAGAACCAGAGTGTCCAAATCTCCTGATTTTACCAGGAAACTCCTGATTTTTAGACTTTTCTCCTGATGAAAACTCTTCTGATTTCAGGAGCTGATTTTTAAGATTTTCTCCTGATTCTCCTGTTTTTCAATTGTTTTCCCGCATCGATTTTGTTTTTTCCAAAACTGAGATTATCAGTTTCAGAAACAGAATTTCTGGATCAAGCGTCTACATAATTGTACATTGAAAGAGTCCGCAGTGTACTTATCGAATGTTTTCATCACAAGAAGATGAGAGTAATGAACTTCCAAATTCATCGGATCAAAAACTTCTTCCTTAATCCATACTGCAGTCTGTAACAAATGATAATACTGTTCCATCAAAAAATATTTCAAAAAACACTATGTTCTTGAAAAAGTGATTGGATTTTTGTTTTGCTTGTCGAAGAAAAAACTGTCCAATACTCTCCTGTTTTTCTTCTGATTTCGAAAAAAAATGTCCTGACCAACTCCTGATTTTTAACGAAAAGCTCCTGATTTCGAAAAATTGGATTTGGACACCCTGGTTAGGACTGATAAATAATTTGTTTTTTTAGTCTCGAACTTTTCTAAACAGAGGAGCTTAAACTACAACTATTGGCAAGTGTGCAGTGAAAATGCGTTCATATAGTCTGTATTTTGTACTGAAATTCATTACTGTTGGAATATATAATACTTACGTATTAAATACCCCGTAGGGATTAAATACCGCTTAAGACTTTGCATCAGAGATCACATATTTTCATTATTCAAAACCTCCAAGCTCTGCCGAGCTTTTGTGTCAGACGTAACCAGTTTTCTCTGCTGTATCTGAAACTAGTTCTAGGACTGATCAAAATCAATAAAAAAGTGCCGGGCTTGATAAAGAGTGGTGAAAATTAACCTTTCTCTGTATTTTTTAACAAGCTTTACCAAGCCTGGCACTTTTTTATTGATTTTGAACAGTTCTAGCACTGGTTTCGGATACAGCAGAGAAAACTGGTTACGTCTGACACAAAAGCTTGGGGGTTTTGAATAATGAAAACATGTGATCTTTGATGCAAGGTCTCAAGGCTTGTAACATCCCTAATATCCCGATATACTTGAAGATATCCCTCGTTTTAGGAGAAAGTTTTATTCCTGAGTTGAACTGAGTGAACTATAGAGTAGACTGTCCCCTACAAAACAAAATCTGTCATCAAGAATATACGAAGTTTTTAAAGTTTATGCATTTCGCTGAGAAACTTTATTTATTAAGTTTCAGAAGTTTGTTCAACTAGTTGGTCTTGTAGGGCAAAGTTTTCTACACAACGAGATGTCTTCCAGTTCTCCATAATCTTTTCAAAAGTTATAAGCATTTTTTCAAAGAGTCTTAAGAACCTGATCTGTATGATACAACATACGATGTTCAAATCCTGACTCTGCCTAATGTGGTTACATTATGATCTGTTGGTGATAATTTAAGACTGTATTTCTAGAAATCTATAGCCAAAACTGTGTCACATTAGTCTGAGAAAAGATACATCGATTTTGTTATTCGAAATTTGGGTTCAATCGGATCTTTGCTTGCACCTTTGTTCATAAAATGAAAGGACAGCAGTAATGGGCTCTTTCAGAATAAATGTATTCTAAACAAAACCGATCTTTCCTTTTCAATGACTGTAGTTAGCAAATACTACATTCCGATACAAATTGATGTTGGAATACGGTATGAATATATTCCCGATGGACATAATTACAACCGAAAATCGACATCTTACATGCATCGCTTTTTAGATGGAAAAAAGTTTAAAGTTTAAGGTACTTAAAACTTGCACATTTGATCATAATCGATATCCAAAATTCACGGCTTTCACACTTGAAAATACACATACTACTTACTATGTGCTATGTAGCATAATATTTGATTGTATGTAGATAGGAGATGTTGTGATACCAGTTGAAGAATTAGTACTGGATGTAAGCGGCGCTTGTTTGTTTTCTGATACATGTGATAGGGAATTGTACGATCCACACGATGTCGAGCAGGATGTACGTGTTGATTGAGAACCACTACTGACATTGAGTTGTTGTTGTTGTTGTTTTAATCCAAGTGAACGTCGTTGATGTTGTTTGCTCAATGGTTTCGATAACGATGTTACAAAAGATGGATACTTGTTAAAGAGTATAGCTGATGTTGAATCTGGTGCCGGTGAACTTAGTTCAATGTTATTTGTTTTGGACTGTGTAAATAAATTTGTTATTTTTTGATAGAATGTGCCAAGACTTTTATTAAGATGAATATCCATAATAATTGAATACGTGACAATTTATACTTTTTTAAATATGTTCATTAATTAATGAATTAATTAAATGTCGTTTTTTAGCACAAATAAAAATTTATGATTTTGATGAATAGAATTAATGATAATAAAATGAGAAAACTATAAGAATGATTTCGAGGATTTTGAACTGTTACATTTTGTTCACACTGATAGAGAGATATAATTATCGTAGGCGATAGTGATTGGATTGTATAGAGAAAGGCACACTATACTTTTTTTTGTTTCTACAAATATTTTTTAGGAAAATAAGCATGCTGAAAAGTTTTATTTCTTTGTCATACACTTGAACACTTCGATTTTCTTATGACAATAATAAAAAGGAAAACGATTATAATTTTTGCTCATTTTATATATTACTGATGATAATATTCTTTTTTTCTTCTTTTTTACTTATGACATATGAACACAAATGAAAATTATTAGATAATGTCACATACACATCTAATGATTTACGATACTAAAAAAGATAGAGCAAAGGGCTTTATGAATGAATTGAATCGTGCCAATCCGCACTATATCAAACGTTTGAGCTATGAAGTTTTATCAACGTATTTTAATATAGATTACAATTATTCTAATCATCTCTAGACTGTTTTATTCCAAATATTAATCGAGAAAATTAGTGACCACCATGTTATACGTTAGACAAGATGCTTGATTAAATGTTTGTCGTCATTCTGATGTATAGTCTGTTTACTTTTGAACATTTTATTAATATATGCACATGTAGTTAGAAAACGAAGGACGATAAGTCATTTAGGCAACGACGAACGGACAGCATGATATTGTCTTTACATTCATAATGAAGCTGGAAATGCAAGTGGAGTTTCATGATTCAGACACTATTTCTCTTCCAGATCGTTTTTTTCATCCCTTTCGAACAGTACTTATTTTTTATTACCAATAAACATTTTTTATTGCTATTTTTGGTTTCTATTTATATTGTGTTTAGATAACAGCCACCCAATATGTTGTATACCAAACATTTTTCTAAAATGTGTTCTTCTTCTACTGCTACTACAACAACAATACACCTTCATAATTTTCTTCTTTATCGTTGTTGTTGTGTATGATGATTATGTCGGAAGTATTTTCTATTTGCTAAAGGATGTTCGTTTAGCCTTCACACTTGTGTAAATCAAAAAAACTTGTTCTTCATCCTCATTTTTTTTATCGCAATTCAACAACTTCCTTATTTTAAAAATATAAATCAACAAACAATACGGAAATAACTTATTCTCTTTAAGTGACTACTAAAAATTGATTTATCTAAAAATATTTTATAATCTAACCGTAGATAGAAAATGGCTAGCACTATGTATTTATACTTATGTAAAAATAGCGAACTCAAGAATGGCAGATTAAACGAAACTACTTCGACTTTTATTTTAGAGAGTATTGCGAAAATTATTGATCATGAATATTGTGTGTCAATGTGATCTCAAAGATTGTTGTCTAAAAATCATAAAATGTTGGGGAATACAAATCGAATTTGTTTGCTGGTAATTTTTCACAGTAAAACACTAAAACTATTATCCTTTCTTTAGTTTTGATATCTATTAACTTTTTCACCATGAAATTAGTCTATACACACGCGTTTAACCTTGTGGTCTTTTAAGCAAAGTGTGTTTACCCTAGTGAATGTACTGAGCTAAGGGTACCTGAAAAAGTACCCTGCTACCAGTATGTCACAGGAACTTTCGGGTACTGAAGTACCTTAAAGTACTTTTAGGTACGTATAAGGTACTCGGGCGGGTAC